GACAGACAGTCTGCTGAAACCACTAGGTATGGGATTTAGCAGAGAACAGCAGAGCAATGACCTGTCCCACCAAGACCTTAAGCATACAGGAGACCGTTAAATGTTCAATGTTAACAGCAAAGACTTACCTGGTAGGTAGTCAACTCTGATTTTGTTTTTGTACCTTATGCCATTGTCCTACGAGGCAAGTCCAGCTTCCCCCCCCCTCTTTTAGTAGCCTCAGCTTCCTTTTAGCAGACATATTGACACAAGTCAGTATGAAAACTGGACCATAGTTTTAGAAAGAATGCTACATATGCTTTTTCCACAACACCCATACATTCCCCACCTTCATTACAGGCCAGCACTAGTCCTGCCAGCAAAAGCCACACTAGTTGCGTTGTCTAATCCTAGGCAAGATCTGTGCCTGCCTATTGCAGGTGTTGGGATGCCAGTAGCTGTCCACATGCTCCTGCCAACAGAGGATCAAGTAAACCCTTAAGGGAGAATATTTACACATTTCAGCTACAACAGTCCCACTTGTCTTATGCCTTGCTGCCTGGAATCACTGACTTGGCAGACCTTTCTGTTACCCATACAGCTAGCAACATCAGCGTGGCAGACTAAGGAGGACAAGATCAAAGACCCCTGCTAAAGCCTCACTCCACACGAAATGCACTGCACCTGCTCACACCAGCAGTCATCTTAACCCAGACGCTTTCACACTAATGTGTTACTGGCACAGGTTGAGCAGACATTGCTGGATGCAAATGTCATTAGTTGTATATACTTATGTTCTCTTTGGGATCCACCTATTAGTTTACAGAGTTCATTATATTATTAGGAGAGGAGATTCACCTCTTCAGAAAGAATAAGCTGCTATCCCTACTTCTGTGGCCAAATGTTATACCAAATTTTTCAATACTAACTACAGGAAAGAAGAAAACACCTGGTACATACAAAGCAGCACAGAAAGGCACCTTGGCATGAGCACCTGGTCCTACAAAGGCCACAACTCGAAGCAGATTTCATGTTTACAATTATTTAAAAAGAAAGGTAAAATCATCTCAAGTTTGCCAGGAGTGAGGAGAGTTGCACGGCAGGAGGCTAATTGAGTGCCATTTACAGACACATATCAAATTCTAAGCAGAAACATCCTATTTCAAAGCTGGAAACAACACTGAGCTATCCAACTATCCAGAAAGCAACCACTCAGATTAACTGTTCCCAAGAGAGAGAGAAATCAAAAAGTGACCTTGCTGGAGACTTCACACAGCAGACTAAAAGGGTTATTACCAGAGGAAGCCTGCCTTTCTCCTCCCAGCTTCCCCTAAGGCAACTGAACTAACAAAGGGCAAGAAACAAAGCAGCTCTGGGGGGAAAGGGATGTGAACAGCCCCGTTTGCCCACTGCACCACACTAGACACTTGAGGAAGAAAAATCTCTCCTAATTTCCTCTAGTTCGGCCAACCAAAGGATTTCTACAGCTCCTACGGACAGAATTTCAGTCCTTTACTGTGACAGTAAGCTCTTCTGCCTAAAAAAAACCCAAAACAACCCAACACTCATGCAGGCCAACCCTATGAATAATATCCACTGAGTAGGTCTGAAGAGGCGTGGAGGGGAATCCCTTTCATGAAGGGAAAAAAACCCTACACAAAACCAAAGAGAGAAAGGCATTGCAAGCACCCTGCTGCTACGCACATATACCCCCTCCCACACAACTCACTGCAAACACCATCACTGCAGGCTGCCCTTGTAGCTTGTGAGCTAGATTTGGCCAAGGAACAAGCAGGGAACATCTCCCTATCAGTCTCTAGAGCCATTCAGCTCTAGGCCAATAGCCCTGGTGTTTAGGAATGCTTCGCAGATGGATTTCACATGCTAAACTGCTAAATAACCTCTGGGGCAAATTCCCACTAGAACAAAAACACACACTGCAGCTCACTAGGGACTAAGCCTTTCTGAGTCCAAGGGAGGCTGGAGTCATTTACATGCTCATACAATTCACTGTTTTCCTAGCTGTTAAAAGAGCTGCTGCGTCATAGCCGTAAAAGGCTTACAATACCTTGCCATAGAAGTCACTCATCTGGTACAGGGGGATGTGCTGCGTACCACCGTAGAGTTCGATTACCTCTTCATCAGGCACTGGTTTGAGCCCTCTAGAAAACAATGGAAACAGTTTGTCAATAATCACCAGTCTGCACAGAGCTACAAACTGCAGAGAAAGAGAAGATGGGACAAACAGGCTCCTTTCTAAAACTCACAAATTTCTCTTGCACAAAAGAGATAGCCAGAGAGCCTGACAGCTCCATAGTTTCTTAAGATTCACATAAAATCTTTCCCGAGACATTCTTCAAATACCTTGTTTGCTCCTTCAAGTTAATTGAGGGGCTTTATCCACATTCTAGCAGAGAGTTCAAACAGAGGCTTCTCACTGCCCCACCAAACTGGCCCCATGACCTGACTTTGGCAGCACTGGGTAACTGTAGGTTTGAAGAGGTTGCTTCCACGAGGTATATCACCGTTAAATGCAAAGGTATGGGAAAAGAGCTTTCTGAAAATGAGGTTTCCTTCCTATTCAGTTTTCCTAAGCAAAACAAGTTCTTCGCTAATACCATTCAACAGAGATTGCTGTTTTTCCCCCAGATGCCATAATCACAGGGAAGGCTATGAGCTGTACCCTTAGTGAACATCAGGTTATCTGACTGCTGCAGGTTTTGCCTCTTGCACAATTTTTGATGGCTGTTTACTCAAACAGTCAGCAACTTTCCCTTTCTCCTTTCCTATTCAATCATGGTACAGCCTCTGAGAAGTTAAAAGTTGCCTCAGTAGAGCTCAAAAACAAAGGACAGTTTAGGAAAAGGACACTCCAAGAAGGACAGTTACAAATGGATAATAGGGAAAAAAAGTTTAAATACTTTTTAGCTAAAAATCTCTTTATGAAGCTCAAGTGAAATATGGGGCAGTACCAACCCCTCCTTTCCACACACCCCCCAAAAGCTAGCACTCAAAGAAGCCAATTCTCTCTGATTATGAAACTCCCTTCTTAATATTCTTAGAGTGTTTACTGTAGCTGAAGCTTAACAGCAAAAGGGCAGAGTTCAAGAAAAAAAACCATTGGCTTCCACGCTCAGGAAATACAACACAAATTTACAGAAGCTTTGCTATCGATATCTATAAATTACTACTTCTTACACACCAACCCCACTCCACTCTGGGGCAAGGTTTTCTCCCAGTCTCACAACCTTTTGGGAGAAAAGTTCGCTCTGCACTGTTTCAGCCACTTATTCCAAAACACACCCAGCTCTCCTTGGAGAGCAACAGAAGAGAAGGAAAAACAGGACAACCTAGGCCTTAAACTGAGCCCAGATTCTGATGCATCATTACTTTATTGACATGTCCGCACTGCTTTAAGATTTTTATTTGCACATCCAGACCACTCTCCTCTTAGCTTTGTGACAAGGCACAGCAGACCACTGCTGGGATACACTCCTGCCTGGAGAAGACATGCCCGTATGTGTGGACCACATACAGAGGAGTCCTTTCCTAGTTGCACTGTTTGGTCACAGACGTTAACCCAGATATGCTGTAGCTGCAACTCAGACATCATGCAGAGTACGTGACCAGATGTGTCATTAACCATTACAAAAAGCTCCAGGTCTTCCCGCCCACACTTGGCTTGAAATGCTTGAGAAAAATAACTCCCTGCAATTATATGCCAGGTAAGCATTTGAAGCAAGTACAAACAGGATAAGCCAGACGAGACTGTGCTCGGCTCAAAAAAAAACCCCATATGCCATGAACATACACTCAGATTTAGTAATCCACCTTTGCATAGATGGGCATTTAGAAAATGATTTTCAGAACTGACAGACCTATATGCTGTCCCCAGCTGGACATAATGGAAAGCATCGATCTTCATCAGAAGACTCTGTGATAAGGGATAGATATTTACTATTAGAATTGGGTAGATTTACACTGAAACCTTATTTAAGTTTCAGGTTCCACACAAATGACATTTAGAAAATAAAATTCAATATAAGCATCCCACATCTGTGTACTTTAAACTGCACTTACTCCCCAGCCACTTTTACACACACTTATTCATACTGTGACTTTTTATTGGCCCCTCTGGCAAAAGACCATCTTTCTATGAGCTGAAATACCACTGTCTGTTATACTCCAAAGTTAATGGACAGGGATACAGTTGAAAAACGGAGAGAACAATGTTTCTGTAACTCACACAGTCTTGTCTTATCTCCCTTCCAAAAGCACACACATTCCAAAGGAGCTTTGTGTGCACAAGAGATCTATTTCTCCTCACATTTATGTTAAGCAGAACTAAGTGGGCAGGTTTTGGTTTAGAGCGCAGCTGCGCCCAGTCATTTTCTTTACACAAGATCTCTCCCCTCCACCACTTCTTCTCCTCCCCAATAGACATTTAAGCAAAGATGTTCACGAGCACACCAGGCTGGTAACATTAGAGCTTTCTTTACATTTTTTGTATCAGACTCCCCTGTTCATGAGTCATCCCTTCTCCTCCATGCATCATTCTGAAGCCGTAACACAAGTTCTCAGGGCACAGAAAGGAGCCTCACACGAAACGTGCATCACTCTGCAACTCGAATAAAGGCAGAGCATCAAACTATTTGTGCTGTTTCTACCACAGGGCAAGGTAATTGATTCCACAGAGCATTCACAACCTTTGGGCACCTTCTTTTATCATGATACCGTATCAGTGCAGCTTGTTACACTGTGGGCAGACCTCCCACTAGTTTGTGAGGAGTGCAGGCAAATATGCTGAACGATTTACTTAGACAGGCACTACCCAGTTTTTCATGTGTTTTGCAAACTCCAATCCTGAGAAGAGAGAGTTCTCACCTTCTACTCACTCAAAGGGCACTTTGCTTGGCTAGGCTAGTTGCCTCTGTGTTGCTCTGCTATATCAGCCAGAGATTTAAACAGAGAAAGAAACTTCAGTTTCTCACAGATCTACTTCTTACTTTGTAAAGTCAGAGGCATGAGCGGCCTGCTGCCATGCTGTCACCTCAGTTAGGACAAGAGACATGGGAAAACTCTATATAGTTTTTTCTTCATTCTTTTTTTCCCCACTGCTGGAGAACAGCACATTCCAGCCTGTACTGCCTCCTTCCCTGAATTTGCTCAAAGCTCAACGTAAGAAAAGCTACTACAGCGAAGCAACTTTCTCTGCTGTGCTCCCGCCTGACTGCCTGGCTGCAGCAGCCAGCATTACATCACTGGGCATCAGGCTTTCAGGGAATCCGTCCAAAGTACTGAAAAGGGTTAAAGCTAATGCTTGCACTTTGCTTGCCTGTGCTTCTAAGAAGCATGCATCTCAAGTAGCTTGGATCTTTTTCCAAGCGGTCCTATTATTCGGGGTGGGGGGTGGGGAAGACTTCCTAAAGCATTCTCCTGACAAGTCATTTCTATTATTAGAGTAAGACATAATGCCTCTGGTCCTGGCAAGTACTTGTAGATGCAGGATTGAGGTTTGTTGTTTAAATTTCCTGAAAGACAGAAATGATCACACAAACAAGCTGAGTTTTCTATTAATTAGCTTGTGGAATTAACTGACTTTTAAATTGGCAAGGCTGTTTACCAGAGGTCTTTGCTAGAATGTCCCATTCTGCTAGAGGCTACGCAAACACAAAAGACATCTTTCCCTTGGAAGGTTTATAAACAAGAAGAACCCACCCAATGAAAAGCACAGCCACCTGGACTATGTATTAGACTGATAGTTTGGTGGTTGATGTTATTGTAAGCAATGACAGAAAGTATTTCCACTAAAAGCACAACGCAATGGAAGACAAAGCCCAGGAGACTGAACTTTGTACAGCTTACCTTTTGTACATCATAGTGAAGTCCACGTATGGCAAACCCTGGAATGTAGTCATACTTCCCAAGCCCTTCTGGGTACTGGGAAGACAGACAGCAACATCATTAGAGGCATACACACTGGGTTATCAACAAAATTATTTCACCTGTTGAGCTGGCTTAGTCCTACTAGTTGTCTCACCCCCAGGCATAAACTGACCAAGGAGCAGGTGCACTTCATTTTGCCCTTTTAACAAAGAAAGAGGATGAATGGAGAAAGACATAAAGGATCAGGACCCCCAAAACTAGTCTCTCCCTAGTTAGGGACACTAGCGAAAACGTAACAGATTCACTCAGGCAGTGAGGACGCTTCTAGTAAGCTCCATTCAATGCATGTATTTGGCAAAGCAATGGCACTGCAGAGCCCCTCTAAAAAGAAAAGCATGACGAGAAGAAAATGCACAACTAGTCACCTATTGCAAACATGGTGTCCATTATCGGACATGTTATACAGCATCATCCACATTGACTTGCACATGTCAAGTCCTATACAGTTTCAGTGTTGGCCCATGGCTCATGTTTATCCACCATGTGTACCTCGAACTAACAATTGTGTAGGCATTATTTCCATAGTTAAGTAAAGCAGACCAGACCTTTCTAGACTAAGGTTCCTGCTCCATATTTATAAAACCTCAGGAATGTAGAGCATCATGAATTATCTCAAAGGAAATTAATTCCACATACAGACAAAACTTTCTGCAATCAAAGATTGTGAAACGTGAAATTTATCTCAATAAAACAAGTAATTGACATATGGGCACAATGCAGCATTTTGCAAGGATGTCTGGGGTGTCGCAAACACAGCAGAAAGCTTAATTGCGTGCAAATTCTTAGCACATCATTACCTTGAATTGTTCTATCAGGATGTCTCTGGCTGTGTTGAAAATCATAGAGTGTAGTAAATTAGAATACTGTGCTAATGTGTAATCGTAGTCAAAGCCATATATCTCAACATCTCCCAGGCTGATCTCGTTGTTAGCATAGATAGCGGCCGGATTGAGGAGATTGCAGACTCCTGGTGGAAGGAGATCTAAGAGAAGAGAAAGGGGAGAGGTTAGAGAAAATGAGAGGATCACTGAAATTTCAGCTTTTTGTTCTGGACCTGACAGCAGCTGGAAGTACCTCACAGGAGCAGAAGAGGAGCACAGTGCTGCTGTCGAAGACTGCTGCCGTTAACCCACTCAAATAATCCTTCCCGTGAAAAAGCACACTGTGAAACCTCTGGCTGTGTCTAGTGGTGGTGCTAACCCCTTTCACAGTAAGACTGACCTTTTGTGTCAGGAAGCCGCAAAACAACATCCTCGGGTCTCTGGCCTACATGAAGCAAAGCAGACCTGAGATTTTCAAGTGTCAAATTTCTAGCTCACAGCAGCTGCATTTTCAGCAGGCTCGCCAATGTGAAAAGTAGCTGCAATGTATCACCAGAAAAACATGCGCCCCTCACTTAAAACTTGAGCAAGACAAACAGGCTAACTCTCCTCTTTGAGAAATCTAGATTACTTCAAATTAGAAATTTTGAGGTTTGACTTTTTGCATTTTTTGTTTCTCACAGAAGCAGCCAGACTTCACAGAGCAATCCTGCAGGTACTATTAGGGCTTTTTTTGTATTATTATTATTAATGGGCAGGGTAAAGCAAGGTTTTGTACAAACACCAACAAAATGTAAAAAACCCCACATTAAGCTACGCTCTTGGAGCACGTAATACTGATAGCAACAAGTTCTCTGCTTTCTTCTGATAAACAGCTCAGTCCTTGCGTGTGGTTTGTCGCTTCAAAACAGGGTTACCGTTCAAGATGCTTGCGAATAACACTTTGCTCCCCAGACCACTGGGAAAATGGGGGTTAAGTGACATAGAAGCTGAACTACCTGTATATCCTTTTTCAGAGCCAGTCTAGAGAGCAGAGAGCTTTAGCTGCACTACAATGGGAGAGACAGGAACAGACCCTCCCCAGGCTTCCCGCTCCATGAGAGCTGTCCCTTGCAAGACGAGAAAGAGCAATAAAAATAGTTCCCTGTAGTAGGTTGCCTAGTCACATCCACACTGGGGGACAGAGAGGGGAAGGAGACATTTCCTCCCCCCTCAAAGACTGGTAATTTTCTCTTTGAGTAATAGGAAAAGTGCAGACATTTTCCAGATCCTACACAGCATCAGCAGGTAGGATTTTTTTTCCCTTCCTACCTTAACTTTTGGGTTTTAGCAAGAACACCTGTGCCGGTTCTTTAGTGCTTCCTTGCTATAAAACCAAGTTTCATCTGAATCTAGAACAAAAGAAATATTATTAGAAAGAGATACCAGCCATTCCCAATAAAGACTTTGTCTGGAATGATTACAGAATGTAGGTAAAAGCCCAAAGTACATTTGCAAGCACTAATCCAAAGAGGTGACCAAAGAAACAGAGGATTCAGATGTATCATAATATTTATTTTTCAGGGGAGAGACACATTACAAAACATACCCATCCCTCTCTCCTAACTCACTTTCCCTTGGCCTTCAGATGCATTTCACCAGATCAACTAGAGAGGAATTACTAGAAAAGAAAGCAGCATTTTAAGGTAGGAGGGCTCACTTACTGGCTACACAGCAAGAACAAGAGCCCTCTTTCAGTGACTCTGCTGGTGGCAACGTTCCTGGAAGAGGCTGAAGGGGGTGGATGCAATCAGCGTACTTTCCACTGGGATTTTAAAAGATGGGAAATGTAAATGGGATTCAGATGATCACAACTTTCATCCTCTCATCATAAATGCTCGCTGCACCATAAACAAACAGAGCTCCACTTCCTGTCCTCACCTCCAGATAACTTGTGGGAAGATCTTTTTCTAAGCATACACTGGGATTTGCAGGGTGTTATTTTTCTTCCTCACAAGGAAAATGACACAACCCTAATCACATCACAGTGCAAATATGCAGTGCTTTCCTCTCCTAATGAAAGCACTTTTTTTTTTTTTTTTTTATGACAAATGCACCCCACTTGACCACTCTGTAGGGATACAGTAGCAGCAAGCTCTTCCAACATTCACTATTTGCTAACAGGTTTACAATAACGCATTTTTGATAGTCTGAGAGCAGCACAAAATACCATTGCCTGAAGCCCATCTCTCCTTTCACAGAAGACATGAGACCCATCTAAATTCAACAACATACGCCAGCCACAACTTTTGCAAAAATGCAATCAGGAAAAGGTAAGGGAGCGATACGATTTTGTAACAAGTAAAGGGTAGTCAGAGATTCACCACGCGCATGAAGCGAGTCTTATCTGTGATCAGAAGCATAAGCAGTAACTGTGCTACACGCTATGATTTATGAAGTATGTTTAGACCTGCTGGATGAGGTCATACTCCTCCCTGCCAGCCTTGAACATACAGAGCCTCTCTCCTGTCCTCTGACAGCCTCATGCCCAGCTCATTTTACCCCACTCAGACATTTTGTCACTAACTTACACAGCATGTTCTCTCTACCTCATAAGGGCTGAAGAAGATGGATATGCTAGCCAAAATGCTTTATCACCGTTGCCTCACACATAATGTGTTTCCTACGCACGCTTCCTGGAGCACCGCACATCTACTTGTTGTGTTTCCTATCACATTGTCGTCACCAAACAAAACTTGCAGCAGCTTGATGACAACTTGCCCTTTCCACACCGTCATCCTCCATCTTAAATTGTGTCAAAGTCACTGATCTCCTAGAGAGAAGGAAAAAGCTCTGGGTTTCAGTCCAGAGACTCATGCTGCACGTTTGGCTCAGTGTAAATGTCCATTTAAAGCATCCTCCTCAATAGAGCAGTCGGTGTCAGGCTCCTCTTCATGCTCACACAGTCCCTCCGCAGGTTCAAACTACATCAGGGAAGAGACAGAAGCTGGGAGCAGGTGGAAGATTTGTTTCAATGTGAGAATCCAAACATGCCTAGCTTATCAGTGAAACTTTCAAGAAGTTTGGGGTTTTGGTTGGTTGGTTGGTTTGCTTTTTTGTGTCATGTTTGTTTTTTTTTTTTTTTAAAGATAATCACCTGGGTGGTTACAAATTGAGTGCTTAATTAAGTCCTGGGCTGCAGACTTGGGCGCTGCTGCTTTGCTGACATTCAGCACGTAATGTGCCAGGGATCTTTGCCTCAGTTTGCATGGCAATTGCTGAGTCAAAACAGATTACACCCTCCAGAAGCCCATGAAGATGCCATTTTTCAAGAACAAGACCTTTTGCTTTTCCTGTGCCAAAACACCAAAACAGACTGCTGGACAGATATGATAAATTACAGCAAGAAAAAAAAAAAAATGAAAACCAGTTTTGGTTATTTCAAAAGAATGATAATCCCAACTACTCTTTCCATCTGCATCCTAACTGGAAAGGGAGACAATATCACAATTACTCACTGTCTACTCAGCACTTCACCCAGGAAGTATGATCTAAGGGAAAAACGGTGTGCGTACATTTGAGGACAGCGGAGAAAAAAACAGCTCTTGCAAAAGATACAAACCCCTGGAATCTGCATACTTGCACAATTTGCTCCGGTTTGCAACTCTGACAGTTTTAAGGGAAGTGTCTGCATATCCATGGTACATGATGAAACTCAGAAACAAAGGCAGACCACAAGAAAGCGTGTTTGATCTCATGCATTTTTTACATCTGGGTGTAAATGCAAGGTAAACACATATCACCTCCTTCATTTTACTACTATGAGGCCCTGAAGAGCTGCTTAAATTGGAGTATCTTCATGACAGCACAAGTGCCTCTTCCCAGGCAATAGCCCACATTGTCAGAAATCAATAACACTCAATCCCCAACATGACAGCAGAGATGGAAACAAAAGCAGGTAATTAACTGTGAGCAACGGTTAGAGACGCCAAGACGCCATATGGTCCCTTCTGATGTGAAAAACACACCGGTCAGGAGGTGCCAAGCACGTCCCGTGCTCTTCTGAGCTCCCGTTGGGGGTACCAACGGCATCACGCAAGAAATGCTCCTTTTCTCTCAGCCTCAGATCCAGCACGTTAGTGAAGAACAACACATTAAAAAGGCAGCTCACACCCATCTCTCACACCCTTTGTACTCCCAGAGGTCCAACACAGCAGACATCTGTACTAACTTCTTTGTGAGACTAACGAGGAAAAGGGCGATACTGAAAAGCAGATGGCCACCGTCCTCCACGTTCCTCATGAATCAAAAAGTTGCCTTTGCTCACACTGCCTTGCTTTCTAAAGACAAACTGTGAGTTTTTCCTCCCTTCCAAGTACCTCTTTATCCTTTTGAAGTGTTGTTTTGTACCATTTCACAGCAATTCCTGCAAAGCACTCTAACCAGCCGAAGTAGATGCCTCTAACAAGATGGTAGGGAGAGGGAAATATTACTTAAAGAGCATTAAATGACAGAGGAACCATGTTAAAAGAGTGCTTAAAATTATTCTGGAGCATCATCTTGAATTTATGCCATTATGCCTAAATATTTTGGGATTTCTCGCCAATGAAATCTACACAAACCAAAAGCAATATTAAAAAATACCATTTTGTTCCAAAACAACATTTTTTATATACACAGAGGCACTAGACAAATGCTGGTATAAAAGTTCTTTACCAGAAAAAAAAACTTTATATTTAGGAAAGCAGAATTTGGAAGTTAACATAACTGGTCACACTTCCAGTTCTGGCTGCTAATTGTCATTTGCCATCCCAGCTCCATCTGTAGATGCCGCAACTCATGAAACGTGCACGCTCCCGAAGAGATTCACAGGGCATTTGTTATCATAGCACTAGACTCGCTTCCTGGTTTGGCAAAGAGTGAGGCCCTTAAATCTTTGTGCCTGCTTGAGATTAGCAACAGAAGCAGAATCAGAATGTGCTGGATTGCAAAAACCACCACACCATAATCACCAATGCAATGATCACACAGGGGTGTCGCCTTCTCTCCCGTTTCCAAAGGCGATGGGCACATGTTGCTGACTGCATCTTGCATTATTTAGATGCAAGGGATCTCTTAATCCACACAAACTAAAAAGAGCAAGGACTACTTCTGAGCTACATCCTCAGGGTTATCAATGACTAACCAAGTTCTTGTTATCCGCAAACTTGTCTCCATTCCCAGTAGTTATCACATTTAACCACGCTCAAGCTTGTCATGCAGAGTCAAGAAGTTAACAGTTATTTTAATGGTTCCTTAGGAAAGCTGATTTTTTGTAGCTACATTTACAAGTTTGAAAGATCTAGGGAAAAACATACGCACTTATTTACAGCTAAATCCTCACTTGCTCGCCAGTCCCATCGAGTTTCAGGACTGGATGTTTCCAAGACTGCAGGACTTCAGACACTGCTTACTAAGAGAGCATATTAGCCTTCCTTGACACTTCAGATGCCAGCAAACCAAAATACAGCAAGTCTTGCTCAACACCACCCCTCTGACAAATGCAGTTACACTTTTCCTTTTGGTAGAGGAAAAAACACCCACATGAACTGGAAGTAGCGGCCTCAAATTCTTACAGGTAATGAAATGTTGTTTGTATCACCACACTCAAGCCTGGCAGAACACAGATGTGTTTCTACAAAGCTGAGAACTTCTGGTGCCTGGGCTCTGGCCACCAAGCCAGTACCACCACTGAGCTTTACTGCACACAAACTCTCATCCTACACATCCCACCCTGTCCAACTCAGTCAGCATTTATCACTGGAATCCCCTCTATGCAAAAATGCAACATTGCTCCACAAATCAGGTCCTAAGGAAGAGCTGGATTGAAAACACATAATCAATTCTCCTGGCAGAGACGTCTCTCCAAAACCAATAGCAATAACTGACAATATAGGACAAAGGACTCCAGAAAGGTGGAGTTTCAGATAAGGAGGGTGAAGGTGGCACCACAGGAGTCTGCTCAAACTGAATGCTGATGAGTATTGAGACGTGACATTGTTTTCAAATCCATAATCCAACCACAGACATTCACTTTTACATCAGAGTTAGAAATCAAGAACAAAGGAACAGACTGATGCCACATTTTGCACAACTCAGTTTAGTTGTCAAAGCAACAATTAAAACTAACTTGAACCAACTTTGTTTATGCGTCTTCTTGACGAGACTTGAATAACAGCACAGTCTTGAAATTTTGGTTTGGGGAGCTGTTCTTTAAACAAACAAGGGCCTTCTTATTTAACATGTCTAATAGTTACCTGAAGGTTTGTAAAAAGTCTGCCCTGAAACACGTGGGCTACTTCACCTAACTTAATTTTGCATTTAGTCCTGCTGATTAGTTCTCCATCTCCAGTAACGACTATCTCTTGCATCCCAACAGAGTGTAACTATGTGAATAAAAGCTTCACAATCTGTCACAGAGTAAAGTGAGCATTTTCCCAAGACACCATGACACAGCCTGTTAACATATCTTCATTTACGGTTTCAATACCATTATAAAAAAGAAAAAAATGCCGCTGAGGATATTAAGGTCCAAACACCATTACAAGCCTTACAAGTTGGAATTTCTTTCAAGTAGTGGGGCTAAAACCACAACTCAGTCTTGGAGCAGGGACTTAACACAAAGCTACCAGCCTCTGTCAGCACCCTGTACTGCCTTCAGCGCTCAGGCAAAGGAGTTCACATCCTGCAAAAGCTGGAATGCAGCAGGCTGAGCACCCAACAGATCAGCGGCCAATTCCCTTACATCTGTGCATCATAAAGGACTTCAGATTTTATGTTAAATCTCGTCTAGTGGAAGGTGAGGGAGGAAGGAATGACAGAACTTGCCAATCTCAGAACAGCAAGACCGTTCTTCCAGATGCCTGTGGCTGGCTGCCTCCAAACCCTTAGATAAACAAAAGCTAATGGAGAGCTATTTAACAGCAGACACAAAGTCACGATTCCTAGCTCTCTACAGTGCTTACCTTCAGCATTCCAAGAATCAAGAAACCAGCAGGAAGAAGTGCCCTGCCCTTATGCCATGAAAGCTATTCTTTCACATTTTCAGGACAGTTTAATACAGTGGAGATCTGCTGCTGCCAAAGAGACCACAATCCTGTTTTATGCATGGACAGATTTGGCGAGTGGCGTGAGTTTTCTCCTCGCTTAGCAAGATATCAATGTACCCGACGGAGTCAGGTAACTTCTTGGTCAGAGGAGCAAAAACACGCACGCACGCATACATGAGTAAAAGGTGTTTTGCACCTGTAACACAAGCTGAGCTCAGGATCAGAAGACATCCTAGCAGCTGCAGCATCAGTCTTGTCCATGCTCACCCTCGTGCCAATGGCGAGTTACAAGTTGGACCCTGGACTCCTCACCACATCAGTCAACACGACTGTCTATTTGTCCTAGTCTAACCACCTTTCCGTATGCCAACCAATGGCAAATTAGAGAAAAATGCAAGAAGCCCTTCATTTAGACCATTCGCCATGACAACATCCATGTTGGGGGGGCCAGTTGCGAAGAACCCCACATACTCTGCATGTCTCTGAGACCAGCCGAGGGATATTCACAGAGGGAAGCCCAGGATGGGGAGAGGAAGACCAGGGCCAGATTTCAATAGAAATAAAACCGTCCCAGAGGGCCCCGGGCGATGGAGGCGTGCAGATGGCATTGCCAGGGAGAAGGCTTCTATCCCCGGTAGCTGCAAAGCAATGGGCACAACCTCAGTTCTGCAGCGCAGGGAAAGGCACCAAGATGTAAGGAGAGAAAAAAAGGGAGAAAAAAAAAAGGAAAAAGCCGAAGCCCGGCAGGACGTGGCAGTCCCAGCGCCCGGAGGCGGCCCTTACCGTAGACCAGCTTTTTCATCTCGTGGTACCTGGCCCACAAATAGGTCTTGGTGTCGGCTCCCTCGGCGGGGAGGGGCTGGCTGCCCGCGGCGGGGCCGGGCTCGGCGCCGCGCCGGGCTCTGCCGGGGGCCGCCGGGTGGGGGTCCCTGGGCTGCCCGTGGCCGCCGTCCCCCGGGCACTGGCCGGGGTTTGGGGGG